TATATCCAGGTCATCTTTCCATTTCAACAGAATTAGTTCTATTTCACTTTTGTAATGTCTACATAATATTTCTTTATGTGGATATTGCCTAATATATTTAATCAGCCTCCTATCTCTATTTATATATAGAAAAGTCTAAGCGACCGAATGACTGAACAACTGAATGACGAGTTGACTGGTTGCTATGACACTCACTGACCACCAGGGGGCAGACGCTTAACCAGGAGCTTCCCCCTGGTGGTCAGTGTACTCCCACAGCAGTTGCAGTGGGGCTGGGATGAGTGGAAGCGGCCGGCAGGAGTGGCAGGTGGTGTTGGACAGTCAATTTCCGCCCAATCCCCACAGGCCACACAAAGGACCCCAGTGGTGCACAAATCTGTGCACTGGGCCTCTAGTGTATATATAAAAGCCTAAGCAACTCGCTGACCATTCAGTAGCTATGACACTCACTGACACCAGGAGGCAGATGCTCAATGCAGGAGTGGCAATCACAGGCATGGAAACATGAAACAGACTGATGAATCTCAGAGATAAGGGGAAAGGGGGAGGGGGCAGGAAGAGATTAACCAAAGATCTTACATGCATACTAGTCAACTCTTTTAATATCAATTGACTAGAGGCCCAGATTCGTACACTGGTGGGGTGCCTTGGCTTGGCCTGCAGGGATCAGACTGAAACCGGCTCTCTGATATCTCCCAGGGGTCCTGGGTTGTGAGAGGGCACAGAGCAGGCCAAGGGACCCCATTAGTGCACGGATCTGAGCCTCTAGTTAATAGATATTAAGAGAGTTGACTCCTGCAAATTGTAATAAGCATAACTTATATTTCCTTATGTTCAAATATTTGGAGAAAATATATTAATACCATTGGTTATTTTCTTTCCTTTTTTAAAGACAAGCTTATTGATTTTTAGAGAGAGAGGAAAGGGGAGGGAGAGAGAGAAACATCCATGTGAGACATCAATCAGCTACCTCCTGCATGCCCCCCACCGGGGACTGAACCCGCAACCCAGGCCTGTGCCTGACCAGGAATCAAACTGGTAACTTCCTGGTGCAGGGGGCAATGCTCCGCCAACTGAGCCACACTGGCCAGGGCTGGCATGGCTTATTTTCACATGACATTTATTAGTATCTCTTAAAATGCTAATGTTTTGCGGAGCATTGGGAAGCAAATCGAAATACTTTAAAAGCTGTAATAAGCTTCAGTTTGTGTCAATCACACCCCTTTTGTATCACAAGGCCATGGTCATGCAGCAGAACCACCTGTAGCCAAGTCTCCTGCCCCACATCCCCAGCCCATTCCCACACGCTCAAACATCACAACTCCTGGAAGACAAGACTAAGGTAGCATGCAGCAGTGAGGCAGAGGACCCACACTCTCCAGCCCCAGGCCCAGCGTGTTGATCTCTACATTTTGGCCCGAGGGGATAAGAATTCAGTGGGTGAGCAAAGGATTGATGAGCCAGGAAAATTGGCTCAGGAGATGTGAGGAGATAGCTACCAGATGTTTGCAGCAAGATACATGGGGACTTTGAAAATGTGCCCATCAGTCAGCTTTGTCAAATCTAAATATTTTGCAGTATTGAAAAATGAAGAAAAGAAAAAGAGGAAAAGAGGAAAACTGGTTTGGCTCAGTGGATAGAACGTTTGTCTGTGGACTGAAAGGTCCCAGGTTTGATTCCGGTCAAGGGCATGTACCTTGGTTGCGGGCGCATCCCCCATAAGGGCTGTGTAGGAGGCAGCTAGCCAATGTTCCTCTCTCATCGATGTTTCTAGTTCTCTATCCCTCTCCCTTCCTCTCTGTAAAAAGCCAATAAAATATATTTTAAAAAAAGAAAAAGAGGAAAAAATAGTTCAGATTTGAGGTGTATGTGTGGGGTAGAGAGCTTGTTATCTCTTACATTTTGTTAGATGGAAGTTTACTAGTAAAGCATACTATGTAACAGCAAAATTTACATATAATGCCATGTGTTAGTTTTCTTCTGTTGGCCCTTCTATGTTACATAAATCTCTAAGTGATAGAAACCTAGTGTTTTTATGTGCATTTTTAGCCGGAGGAGGGGGGGGGTGAGCCTTTGAAGTGCCTAAATTCATATATAGAGCTAGATTTTTTTCCTGTGATTTTTTTTTAAAAGAATAGTTTATTGATTTTGAGAGAGAGAGGAAGGGAGAGGGAGAGTAAGATAGAAACATCAATACAAGAGTGGAATATCAATTGGCTGCTTCCTGCATGTCCTTACCAGAGATCAAGGGCTCTGTGGTTATTATTATAAATTCTCAAAATTAGAAAATGTTAGGTTACCTATCTATGAAATATATATATGCTTAACCAACCATCCAACCGTTTGACCTTGCAAACTGTACCTAGGACATCTGCTGACCACCAGGGGGCAGATGCTCAGCACAGGAGCTGTCAATCTGCAGTGACTTGGCAGCTGTGGTTCTCGGGTGACACACCTTGAACCAGAGAGGAGAGAGCCTGATTCCAGGTGTGTCACCTGAGAACCGCCCTGTCACAATCTGGGACTGCTCAGGGGATGTCAGAGAGCTGATTTCGGCCCCATCCCTGAAGGCCAGGCCGAGAGACCCACCTGTGCACAAATCTGTGCACTGGACCTCTAGTTTAAATAAAACATTGCAGACATATCTGAAGCCCCTTACCAGTATACTAGGCATGAATGCATTTGGTTGAGATTTGCATTCCTTTGAACACTAGTGAAGTTGAACATTATGTGCCATTGGTTTTTTAAATTTTATTGTTTGTGAATTTCTTAACTATAACTTGCCAATTAAAAATGGTTTGGCCTTTTAATGATTTATCAATTCTGGCTACTAAACCTTTACCCGTTATATGCATTGCCAATGCCATCTCCCTGTCTGTGCCTCATCCTTCCCTTTATTCCTGGTGTCTTCTTTGTACTCAAGTTTTTCATATGAACAAGAGTCAAATATCTTACATCCCTCCTTTACCGTGTGTGCTTGTGATGCCTTGCTGACAGTCTTCCTGCACCCTGAAGTCATAAAAACGCTTACATTTTTGTCTGAACATTTTATTGTTTGGCAAATGACATTGGGTTTAGAATTGATTTTTGTGTAAGCCATAGGTAGGAATCTCATTTTCTCCCCACCCCCCACTCCCCGGGATAGATAGCTGTGCCCTCTCCCTGGGGCAGGGGAGCAGGAGAAAGCCAAGCTCTCTTATCTGAGGCCACTGGTTCACTGGGAATCTCTCCTCTTGACTCCCAGCTGAGTCAACCACACCCCTACATCCGCTCTGGGATCCTGGAAGCGCCTTTCAGACAAAGCTATGCTGCCCCTTCCCCTCCCAGCACCTTTACCATTCCTCCAGCTGTAGCCATGATTGTTTTGTATTGTCATTCTTTTTTTCATTCATCTATCTACTATGTACATGAGTGGGAACACACACACACACACACACTGCAATGAATCCTTACAGGACCAGAGAGCTAGAAGCATTGTGGCTACTAAAACTTCAGGATCTACCATTCACTAGCTGGGTGACTTTGGGAAGTTACCTAATCTCTCTGTGCCTCAACTTCTCCATCTGTAAAATGGGGGGAAGTACTGATCTAAGAGGGATGCTTAAGCCACTAGAGCAGGTGGAGGGATGCCGCCCATAAGAAGCACTCCATAAATGCTGGCTTATTAGAGGGAGTCTCTGTATCCCCAATCCTGAGCAATGTCTGGCAGTTGGCAGGGACCCATGAGAACTTGTCCAGTGAATACAATTATAGGAGCTCTAGCCTGAGCACATCCTTTGGGTTTTGTTAGTTTGTGAGGAACAGGACCCCTGGGTGGCTACTGAGGCTGCGGCCAGAGCAATGCCAGCAAGAAGCCCATGTCGGGGAGATGGTGGTGAAGAGGGGTTTGTAGACTGCAATACAGACCAAGACAGAGCGCTACCAGGGACCCGGAGCTATGAAGGAACAGAGGTCAGTGAGGTGTAATTAATGCCAATGACCTTTTCAAAGCCCCGTCAGGCAGGTGGGAGAACGGGTACAGCAATGGCCCTACCTCCAGCAGGCAGACCTGGTTGCAGAGGAGGACTCGGTGGGAAGGGCGGTGGGTAGGGCAGCGATGAACTCTGAGGAGCCAAGGTGATGCTCAGAGTATCTGCACCCACCATGCTCTCTGCCTCCCTCACCCCTTGGCCCTCAGGTCTGCATGATCACACTCCCCTGGTCCCTCAGACTGGGACAGACCGCGTCCTCCAGGCCGGGAACCTGGGAGAAGGTGATGTCAGCAGGGATGTCACAAGTGACAGGCACTTAGCCCACCTCATCCAAGAACAGACCTCCTCCTTCCACACCAGCCTGAGGACCTCAAACCCTTCCTCCCTTTCTTCTCTCCCCTCCCTCCCTTTCTGGTCCTCAGGTTCCATCCTGAGGGCAAGGCTGAGGTCTCATCATGACTAAAGGCAAGCAAGGTAGTGATGGAAAATACCCAAACCAGCCACCTGAGCAGGAGGCAGCCAGCTCCCAGTCCTGGGAGACACAGGAGCAGAGACCACCCCTTCTGCCCACAGGGCCTGGACTTCCCGGGGCTCAGGGTCCCCCTTCAGGGCCTGCCTCCAGAGGGCCCTGTGTGCGTGGACTTCAGGGAAGCAGGCGCCAGGCTCACCGCTCTGTCTGCCTGAGACACAGTGGACAGAGGGGTTGTGGTTTCTGGGGAGGGCAGAGGTGCCCTGGGCAGTTCTGATGAAGCTGTGTGGGCCGCAATAGGAAGGGACGCTCCCCTACCTGGCGCCTGGCAAGGCCAAGGCTGAGGGGGACCCCCTGAGGGGTGCGTGAGGATGGATTAGAATCAGGAGGCCAAGAAGGAGGAGAGGAGCTGGCGTGGCAGATAGAACTTTGCAGCCTGGCCTGGAGGGCCTGAGAGGACAGTTAAGGGAGGGGTGCTCATGGGGACGGTCACCCGCAGAGGAACTTTCCTAACCGTCAGGATTTCACAGCCTGGTCAGGGAGGAAGTGAGACCAGAGAGGGAGGCGAAGACTGGGTTACTCAGAAGCACTGGGTCCCAGACCCTCTCCGGTCAGAGGGGAGTGGGCCGGGATCCAGAAACCCCACAGTCTGCCCGCAACCCTCAGACTCAAACCTTCTCTCCTCTGGGTGATGAGGCTTTCCTTCCCTTGCTCCTCCCTCCTCATCTCTGCTCCAGAAAGGGATGGTCTTTGCCAGTTTGGGACGGTCTCGGCCACAAGAAGTCACCCGTCCCTGGTCACCCCTCACTCAGCTGCTCACTTCGGAGTGACTTCTGCCTTCAGATCCCGGGCTCCTCCTGGGCAGCCGGCCAGGTGCAGGGCTCAGTTTTTAGTGATGCTGGCATATTCCACATCCAGAAATGGGTCATGTATGGGCTTCGGGCCAGGGCGGGTATTGATGTAGACGGGGTTCTCCAGGCCTAAGGGCTCCAGGTGGGTGAATGAGGCATAGTGGATGTCCCCAGTGTCCTTGCCAGAGCCTATCTGCTGATCAGAGCCCTGGGAATCAAAGACAGACAGAAGTCCATTGGATGGATTACAGCTGGGAAGTGGTCCGTGGCCCCTGGGTGTCCAGTGCTGAGGATAGGGACGGGGATAAGGTATGGGACAGGGTGTGGATTCTGTAGGAACTCTGGGGATGGCAGAAGGCAACCAGGGCACCATCATGAACATGACTAAGAATGAGGAAGGTGAAGAACCAAGATGCCAGCATAGGCAAGCATGGTACTTGCAGCCTCCCACAACCACATCAAAATTATAACTAACATAGAGAGCAACCATCATTCAGAACCGCCAGAAAGCTGGCTGATGGAAGTCCTACAATCAGAGAAGTAAAGGAGAAAGCACATTGAGACTGGTAGGGGGCAGAGGTGTGGAACAATCTGGTCCAACATACTCGTGTGGCGTGTTTCTAATTGGGAGGGATATCTTGGCTGTGAAGGCTTCTCGTGAGGAGAAGCCTCACACCAAACCCTTCAGCTCATGTTTCCAGTGCAGGGAGGAGAAGTCTCCTTAAATTTGGGCTATAAAAACCAATGGGGATTGTGGCTGAGTGACAAGGAGGCTGCTGGAGTTCCTCTTAAAGAGCCAGTGCATGAACTTCCTCGGATTTGCTCCCTCTGAGCTTCCTCAGTGCTTGGGTAATGGCTTAGGGGGATCCATGAACATACAGAGAGGAACTGGATTGTCTGGCATTGGAGCAAGAACTTGGGAGTGGCTTTCTCCCAGATAGGGGTGCTCACAAGGTTCATGGTTGCTATGCTGAGACCTCCACAGTCACAGAGCTGATTAGCAACCACATCTGAGTCTCCATCTACCTGGTTCACACTCTTTGCTCAGGTGATTCCATGAGACCTTGCCTCATCCAATTTGCAATCTTACTCAAGGTATTTGCAGCACTTTTTACATACAATTGACCTGTCCTGGCTCAGGCTTTCCTCAAACAATCAGTAGCTGGGGTCAGCATGCCCCATATTTATCAATCAGTGGCCCAAGACCAGGCACTAGCAGCAGCTTGCCTTGCTTCACAGCTTGGCCCCTCCTGGCTACTTTCAAGCCCAACACAAGTAGCAGCCATCTGCAGATTACTCTGTAGTTCAGGGAGGATGGCCCCAGGTAGTGACTGATTTTGCACCTCCTGTGAAGCCCCAGAGCCAGTGCACTCGGTGGACAGCTTCAGACCACACCAGATTACCACTCTACACATCCACGAGTGACGCACTCAAGGGGCAGACTCAGTGTCCACCAAAGCCCCACTGAATCAAGTTGTGCTCCACAGGGTGTCTCCTGCACTGTAGCTCTTCTGCTGTAGTCACAGCTGGGCCTGGAAGTCAATTTATCCCAGTGATACCAATAGTAATCAAGGCTCAACGATAACAAGACTATGCACACAGCCCACACAGGGATGCCCGTAGAGTGCCTAGCTCAGATGACTTGGAAAGCTAAGCCACTGGGCCCTATAGGATACCTACTACACAAGGCCACTCTACCAATTCCAGGAGACATACATAGTAGCTCTATCTAATACATAGGACAAACACAGAGAAGCAGCCAAAATGCAGAAACAAAGAAACATGTCACAAAAAAAAGAACAAAAGAAATCTCCAGGAAAAACACACACAAAACAACACTAAATGAAATGAAAGCAAACAAACTACTAGATACAGAGTTCAAAATAATGGTTATAAAGATGCTCAAGGATCTCGTTGACAGCTTCAAGAAGCTTAATGAAAATTTCAAGAATCTAAATGAGAATTTCAAGAACCTTAGTGAGAACATAAAAAATAAAAAAAACATGAAAAAGAACCAGTCAGAAATTAAGCCTACACTAACTAAAATAAATAATAATTTACACGGGTTCAACAATAAAGTAGAGGACACTGAGAATCAAATCAGTGGGTTGGAATATCAAGAAGCAAAAAATATTCAGTCAGAAGAGCAAAAAGAAAAAAGAACCCAAAAATATGCAGGTAGTGTAAGGAGCCTTTGGACAACTTCAGCATGACAATATCCTTAGTATGGGGCTGCTAGAAGGAGAAGAGAGAAAGCAAGATTTTGAAAAACTATCTGAAGAAATAATGACAAAAAACTTCCCCTGGTTGGTGAAAGAAATAGACTTACAAGTCCAGGAAGTGCAGAGTCTTAAATAAGAGGAACCAAAAGAGGCCCACACCAAGACACATCATAATTAAAATGCTAAAGATTAAAGACAAAGAGAATTTTTAAAGCAGATAGTTACCTACAAGGGAGTGCCCATATGACTGTCATCTTATTTCTCAACAGAAACTTTGCAGACAAGAAAAATTCAAAGTGATGAATAGTAAGGACTTACAACCAAGATTACTCTACCAGCAAAGTTGTCATTTAGAATTGAGAGTGAGATAAAGAGCTTCACAGACAAGAAAAAGTTAAAGGAATTAATCACCAACAAACCAGTATTACATGAAATGTGGATGGGTATTCTTTAAGAAGAGGAGAAGGAGGAGTAAGAAGAAGAAATATGAACAAAAAATTGCAATAAATACATATCTGTCAACAACTGAATGTAAAAATCAAAACAAACAAGTAGTCTAATGAACAAAATAAACTGATGAATAAGATAGAACCAGAGCCATGGTATAGTCTCACAAATCTCAGAGGGAAGGGGAGTGGTGGGGAGAGATTAACTAAAAAATGTACATGCGATATGTGTTATCTATGGACACAGACAATAGGGTGGCGAAGGCCTGGGGCAGGGTAGGAACAGGTGGAGGGGAGCATTGGGTGGAAAAAGGGGGACATCTGTAATTCTCTCAACAATACATATATAAAATAAAATAAAAGGATGCACAGAGTGCAGTAAGGTCAGAGGGCTAGCAGCACCATCTCAGTCTCCACCCCAGATCTATTAGCCCAAAGTCTCTGGGTGTTGGACCCAGAGTGGCTGAACCACTGACCATCATGACCTAGCAGATGAGTTGTCATTAAAATATGTCTCCCACAGAAGGAAGGTCAAAAGCTTGGTCAGTCAGCTTCTCCCTCCCTCTCTGAGGAATTTGAATTGGGAAATATGGGAAAAGGACGTGCATAGACAAAGCATTAGGGGCATGACCAGTCACAAGTGAGCTCAGGTTCAGAGTATTATAAATAGAAACTGTAAGTAAACAGAAGCCAGGAAGTTGGAAGAAGAAGAAAGAGGAAGAGGAGAAGGAGGAAATGGAGGAGATGAGGAGTAGGAGGAGGAGGAGGAAGAGAAGGAGGAGGAGGAGGAGGTGGAGAAGGAGGAGGAGGAGGAGTGGCAGCATCTTGGCCGATGTGGCTCATTGATTGAACGTCAACCCATGAACCAAGAGGTCACTAATTCTATTCCTGGTCAGGGTACATGCCCGGGTGTGGGCTCAATCCCCAGTAAAGAACATGCAGGAGACAGCCGATGTTTTTCTCCATCGATGTTTCTGTCTCTCTATCCTTCTCCCTTCTTCTCTCTCTAAGATCAATAAAAACATATTTTTTTTAAAAAGAATAATAATGAAAACAAAGATACCCAGGAAAGCCGAGAATCCCTCTGATGTGCGGGGGGATCCGTCCGAAGCACAGTTTCAGCCTCATGGGTGGAAATGTCATGGATGTGGTGGGCTTTGCCCTCACCTGTGAACAAACAGGTTTAAAGGAGAGACCCCTGCCTGCCTCTCTCCTGGCAATTCAGGTGATGCTGGGGGAACTGGCTGGGCAGAAGGGATCCTGCCTGACGGGGGAGAGGCTGGGCTTGGCTGGGTGGTGCCATCCTGCGGGAGGTCCAGCACCGATCAGTGCCCGAAAGCAGATGTTAGTGCCAAACGAAGGAGCAAGTCTGATTGGCTGCCTGCATCTAATTTGCATCAAACCAGTAAACTTGATCAATTCTAGGTCCAGGGACCCATTGCTGGTATGTGGTTAATAAACACAGCGCGAATGTCCTGTACAAACCAACACAAAACAAGGTAGGAATCATCAAGAGGCACGGGTACAATCATCTTGCACAACATGCCGTAGACTTCACCCGTGCTCAGTGCCAAAACTTAGAACTTGGGAGATTAAAAAGCACTCCCCGTGCTCTTAGGAAGGCGGTGTTTAAATGTGATAGCAACGATTAAAAACACCGTGCCACACCCCAGGAAGGCCTTCGGATCCATTTGTTTTAAAATCCTCAACTACAAAACAGCGATAAAATATCTGGTCTCAATCGGACACTAGAATACCCAGCGCTAGGCAAGTTGGCGCTGGCCTGTGAGCCTGCTTCCTGGTTGGTAACCAGCATAACCCTGTCTCACTGCTCCAGGCTCTTCACATGGCGTGCTCAGGACCGGGCGGCTTTACCTGCCCTGGCTTGGCGCCGCTGCCGGGCTTTGATGGCGAAGTACAGGATCACCAGGAGGGTGAGTGCCAGCAGCAGCGGGAGCACCACCATCGCGCTGAGGATGACCTTCGAGTGGTCTGGGGAGCTGTGGAACGAGGACCAGGTGAGGAGAGAAGGAGCCAGGCTTCTGCGGAAAACTCATCCCTTCCTGTGGTCTGCACGTCTCATCCCATTGCCTGGGAAGCTCGGTTCTCACCACCAGAGGCAGCCTCGACTTGGGCTGCCTGACCCCCGCCCCTGCCTGCACCCCTGCCCTGGGTCTGCTGGAACCTGGCCCCCGGAGCTCAGGGACAAGGGTGGGAGAGGACACGGTGGTGAGATGCTGGCATTCGGGGATTTGGGGGAGGATGTTCCCGGGGCCGAGTGTGCACCGCCTCTAGGTGCTGTGTCCTTCCGTGCCGAGGGTCATGTGGGAGCGGGCTCTATGGAGGGGCGGTGTGCGCGGGTCTGCCTGGCCCAGGGGCCCCTGATCCTGGGCAAGCAGGGACAGTGGGCACCTGCCTGACACAGGGCACACCCTGGCCTCTGCCTGGGTCCTGCACCCACCACCTAGAGGCCAAGTGTCCGCACCTGTCCCACCTCTGGGAGTGTTTCCTTCCTCCTCTGAAAGCAGGGATGCTGACTGTGTCTCCAGGTTTGCTCTGACTGCTTGCTGTCCCCTCTCTGGCCTTTGGGCCCCTGTTTTGGGATCTGTGCTCACCTCTCCGGCAGCTTCCCTCAACTTGGTCCCCGCCCCTCACCCTCAGCCTTGGCTGAGAGGTGCAGTCAGCTCTAGGAGAATACCCGTGTCCTTTGACAAAGAGCTCTGTACTCAATAAGCACCTTCTGACAGTCCCCGTCTTCAGTCAAAGGAAGAAAAGGTGGACTTTCCCACCTCGCAGCAGGCCCCTGGGGCACCCATCTGGGGTGTCAGGTATCAGAGGGCCAGGCAGCAGCTCTGGGGACACTGACTACTCAGCTGCACTGACAGCACCCTTAGTGCCTGCTGTAACACCTAGAGAGGGAACAGGAGTTTGCAGGAGCTCAGGATTTGCAGTGACAGAGGGCGGAGAGAGGGTGGGAGGGCAGAGGTGGGAAGAAAACCAGCCCTCAGGCCAGTCACAGGGCTGGGGGCCTGGGAACCACGCAGCAGAGGTAGAGGAGTCAGGCCATGGGCAGAGGCCACTGCGATGAGCCTTTCCCCGGACCCCATGGCTCTCCTGAACGGAGGAGACGGGCTGGAGCAGGGAAAGGGAAAGGAGCAGGCGAGGCATTGGGTCCTTTGTGTCCCCAGAGGCAAACTTGGCACCGTCTGGAGACATTTTCGGTTGCCTGGGTACCTGGCACAATGGGTGCCCGGGGGAGATGTGCGCTATTACGGGCTGGTGGGTAGAGGCCAGGGATGCACAGGACAACTCCTCACAACAAAGAATTGTCTGGTCCCCAATGTCAATAGTGCCAAAGGGAGCAAACCCTGGAGTACGGGGTGCCGGGAAAGTCAGTGACTCCATTTTGCAGATGAGAAAACTGAGGCTCGAAGAGGTAAAGTGACCTGGAAAAGACCCCATTTCATCCCCTGAGGGCCAGGTGCCATGGGAACATGTAGTTGGAGGTATCCGGCACGGCTGGTGATGGAGGCGGAAGAGGACAGGGAGGGGGACAGTACCTGTCACTGTCACTGACAGGGCTGTTGGTAAAGGTCCCGGTGGTCCCGATGGTCCTGATGGTGGGCTGGGTTGGAGCTGTGAGAGACAACAGTGAGGGGAGCACTCTGTTTGCCCCACACACCAGGGCTCGGCCTCCTAGCCCAGCCCCGGGTGGGAGGAGCCCACACATGGCCTGGACCACACGAGGCCTGAGAAGCTCCACCTGCCCCTCGAAGGCATGCAGGCGGGCATGCCCTCGGGGCAAGCGGTTTTGGAGGAACCGTCACGCTGTCACTTGTATGCTGGCCGAATGCTCCGGTCTCCTCTGTCTCCATTGCTTTTTAACACGTCGGGCACGGTCCACCTGTACTGCCGCCCTCCTCCCCTCCAAACCCTTTTGCCTCCCCTGGATAAATTCCTGCTCGCCCAACCAGGCCCCTGCAGTGTCACCTCCCCTGCGGAGTCCTGCAGGCAGGTCCGTGCTCCTGGCCTTCACCGGCAACCTGGCCTCTCCCTCCGCTGGGCCTCCATCCCACATGCCTCCACTATGCCACCCACCACCTGCATCATAGCCTTTTAGTTATGTCTCAGGGTTCCCTTTCCCTCCCAGGGCCTGGCCCGGTGCCCTACACGGAGTGGGCAGTGAGCCCAGGCTTGGGCAGAGGATGACCGAGCAGCTGATGTGGGTGCGCCAGGCCCCCAGCTGACCACACAGCTGGGCAGGCTCGGCAGTAGGGCAGGGGTCTTCGAAGGTACTGTCTCCCCGTGACCATCACGGGGACATGTAGGGGGGCTTTGCAACTCTGAAGTTTTCAGGAGGCATATGGGGGAGGGGGGACGCTCAGGATTAGGAGGAGCCTCAAGCTTCCCAGGCTGAGGCTGAAGATCACTCAAAAATCTGGGGCCGGTGCAGGGTGGGACCCAGGCCCCTTAAGCCCTCGGGTCCTACAGGTCCCAGCCTCACCCTACAGTCCCCGCCTCCTGTGGCTGTTTCCTGCCTGTCCGCATTCTTTGAGCCCAACACAGTCACCTCAAGGTCAGCCCTTTGAGAGAAGGTCAGAGAGAAGGTCAGGAGAGAAGGCTGGGGGAGGGTGCCCCGGATGGATCGATAAGACAGGCTTGCTCAAGCCCAAGTCGAGTGAGCAACAAGTGTTTGGAGAAGTGTGTGCTGGGGAAGGAAGAACTGCCCCAACCCGGCAGTCCGAGTTCTGGTGCTGGTTCTGCCCATAACCAGCGGCGACCTTGGGAAGGGGCCTGGAGTTCAGCCACGGGGGTTGGGGGCCTGGCTTAGGTCCTTCCCGGCATCCGCCTGCTGCGGTTCAGGGAACCTGGGAAGCACATACAGAGGGAAAGGACTCACCCGGAGATACCACCAGACGGATGGCTCTGAGAGGAGTGACTATGGAAGATTCTAAGATTCCACACCAATACAAACCCGAGTCCTTCTCTCTGAGCACAGCCTTGGTGACGGTGAAGTACCTCTGTTGGGGGTAATCCATGATGACGTATCTCGGGTCTCCAGGCTGGCCCCGGAGCCTGGGGTGGGTGACTAATAAGACACAAGTTTCTGCTGATATTATTCTGCACCAGGTTTTCGTCTTGGAACTTCTCTGGGGTGGGTACTGGCACGTTACGAAGAGTTCCTCCCCTTCCAGTTTCTGCACCTGCTGCTCCCAGGAGCCTGAGAATAAACCCTGGGGTCAGGGAGCCGCTGCTTGTCCCAGAGCTGAGAGGGGCCCCTCCTCAGGAAGTCCTCCATGCACTACACTCAGTGCCCCCACACACACACCTCACCCTCCTCCCCATGCCCCTCACGCCACCTCACTAGCATCCCTCCTCCTCTCCCCCACGCCTCTGCCCTCACCTGAGGCCAGGAGCACCAGCAGGACAAGGGGCAGCAGGCACGTGGCCTCCCAGGCCATGGCCCTCTGCGGGAGCTGGGGAGGCAGCGGCCGCCCTGAGGAGCCGGTGCCAGAGCTGGCGGGTTCAGCAGCCGCTCCTCCTGTCTGGGAAGAAGGGCTGAGGAAGCTAAGACTGCAGGTGGGGAGGGGGGCAGCGAGGAGGGGAGGCCTAGGCCTACGGGGGACCTTCCCCTGCCCCGCTGCCTCTGGGATGGCTGGGGGCTCTCTGGGCCAAGCCTGCCCCCTGCCTCCCTCCCATGGGCATGGGGAAATCGGTGAAAGCCCCGGGAGGAAACGATGGTGAAATAAGAAGCCATTCCTTCCCCCTCTGTCTCCCCTCGGTCCTTCCACTTCCTTCTCCGCCTCAGCTTTCTCCTCGCCACCATGAAAAACAGGGCTGAGGGTGAGTGACAGAGGCAGGGGGACCCTCTGGAAGCCCCAGTGGTCAGAGGCCGCCTGCCCAGATCTGCTGGGAATTGGGGTGTCGTGTGGGGACCGGAGGAGCAGGAGGAGGTGGGGAGTCATTCTCAGAGGAGGAGGTGCAGGGAAGGTCCCTGGCAAGGGTGGGAGAGCAAAGCAGACCTTGTGGGAGGAGGGGGCGGGAAGAAGGTGGGGAAGGAGGGCATGTGGGAAGAATGGGGGTCTCTGCCCTCTGTGTCCCCAGCTCCCCGCTTGCCACTGTCATCACTCCTTAAGCATTTGCTGGAAGGCCATGCTAACCAAGCTCATTTAGAAAATAATTTGTACTTTGCATCCCCGTGACTATTAGTGCCAACAATAACTCCGTGTGGTTCTGGGATGGGGGGGGGGGGGGGGGGGGAGAACCGCTTTGTAAAGTGTGTGACTGTCCACCTCTATGCTCTACACCTGAAAACAACATAAAATCACCCTGAATGCAAGCTGTAACTGAAAATAAAAATTGAACTGTAAAAGAAAAGAATCTGTCAGTAGAGGAGCTACAGGAAAACAATTGTCACGGCTGCTTACAGTCACTAGACAGACAACCAGGTCAGAGAGCCCTGCACACGCGCGGGACAGACTCTCAAGGCAGAGACTAGCGGGGGCGGGGGAGGGGAAGGAGGAGGGGAACCGGGGTGAGGGGGGGGGGGTGTCACGGTGCTGGGACCAGGCCAGGAGGCAAGGGCAGGAGCAACCCTCGGCTACCAGGAAGCTCCAGCCACCCTCTGGGGACAGGCTGCCTGCCCCTTGGGACCTTAGTCCCCTGCGTAGGCTGCCCTGGGAGGGTCGCCTTCCACCCTCACTGCTCCCAGCACTGGGGCGAGTCCTTCAGCCCTGCAGGAGGAGGGGGAGGCTGGCTGAACGGCCACCGACTGCCTGACCCGGAGCGAACCACGGTGTGCAGCATTTGCCAGAGCCGGGAGCCTGGGCTCGCTGGCCAGCCTCACGGTGGCAGGTGGCAGGCCTGCCCGCCGGCTCCTCAGTTCAGACATCTGAACGTGCCAGAGGCGCTGGGGCCTCCCCGTCCATCCTTCCCCGGGCCACCACCAGTCACCTTCCAAGGGGTACCCCGTCTCATCCCATTGCCTGGGAAGCTCGGTTCTCACCGCCTGAGGCAGCCGGGCTTGGGCTGCCTGACACCCGCCCCTGCCTGCACCCCTGCCCTGGGTCTGCTGGGACCTGGTCCCCCGGAGCTCAGGGACAAGGGTGGGAGAGGACGACGGAGGTGAGATGCTGGCATTCGGGGGAGGATGTCCCAGAGGCCTGGCAGCTGGGCGGCCGGGGCCGGGTGTGCACCGCCTCTAGGTGCTGAGTCCTTCCGGGTCGAGGGTCGTGGGGGAGCGGGCTCTATGGAGGGGCAGCGTGCGCGGGTCTGCCTGGCCCAGGGGCCCCTGATCCTGGGCAAGCAGGGACGGTGGCCACCTGCCTGACACAGGGCACACCCACCACCTAGGGACCAAGTCTCCCCCCCCTCCCCCGCCCACCTTCCCTTTCTGCTTACAACCGAGGACAAAACAGAGAAATGGGGTCCAGAAGGCTTTAAAAACATAGAAGATGACACACACTATTAAACTTGAAAAGGACTTGAGGACCAGCAATCACAACGCATGTGCTCAGTTGCATCAAGTTCACATCCCTTCCGTTTTTATTCTGAAAAGTCTTGAGGTAGGAATGAATGTCCCCTTCCAAAGGAGAAGAAAATTGAGGCCCGGGAGGGTTGGTGACGTGTGCAGGGTCCCCCGGGACAGGTGGCAACCCTGGTCCCTGGTCCCGGTCCTGAGGCCTGGGCAGCGCTCTCCGCGGGACAGTCTGGTCTCCTAGGTGACAGGGCCGTCCAGCTGCTGTCAGGCCTCCATGGAGGGGGCTCCCGGGGACCCGTTTCCCCAGGTGACTTAAACTCCCTCCAAGTTGTACAGCAGGCGGTAGCCACCCCTTCCTGGTGGGGAGGACAGATGTCGTGTGTGTGTGTGTGTGTGTGTGTGTGTGTGTGTGTGTGTGTGTGTGTGTGTCAGCACCAGGCCAGCCAGTTCCAGTTGAGCCTCCCCTCTGGCGCCCTCTCCAGGACACAGGGAAGAAATGCCTCCTTCCGATGGTCCCATAGGATCACCCCCAGCCCCCTTCTCTCCCCATTTCCATCTTGGAGTGGCCCCACTAAGGCCCTGGCTGTGTCCGTCTCCTGACCATGACATTTGCTCTCCCACCGGGGGGGCCCCTGTCCCAGGGCCGAGTAGAGATGCCACATCTAGACCCACGTGCTTCTCCAGTCAGTCCAGGCTGCAGACGCCTCTTCAGGGGACAAATGCAGCCGGATGTCCAGCTTTCCCTGCAGGAGGGGCCAGGCATGAGCCAGGAGCCTGTGAGGCAGGGGCACTTGCCTCCTGCCACCTGCCAGCCCCTCATGGGACATGGCAAGCCACTGGGCCAGGCTCCTGGGCTGCATCCACCCCATTGGTCCTGCCCACTGCAGTCCTGGGCTGTGGGAGCTCTGAGCTGTCTCCCTGTGTCACAGTGGCTCCTCTCTCCCCAGGGGAGGACGCCCTGGAAGGAGGGGTGTGTGGGGGGTGGCAGTCCCCCCTCCCTGAGCTGTGGCCCCCTCCTACAGGGGACCCTCCAAGAGCCCAGATCTGGAAGCCAGGTAGGGACTGGGGGAGACAGTCCTGAGTTCAACCTCTGCACCCCAGTCTGGGGTCAGGCTGGTCCTGCCATGAGGGGCTGCTGGTCACAGCTGTCCCAGGAGGGGCTGGCCGGCAGGTGGCAGCGTTGAGCGGGTGGGCCCTGCTGGCTCTCAGGACTTGAGGGAGAAGCAGCCTGGCCATCGGAGGTCGGTCGGAGGGAACATGGCCGCAGGGCCGGGCTGGACAGCTCTGGGGACCCTGCTGCCAGTGGCTCCGGGACCCCCAGCTCTTAGTCACCTTCTCCTCCTCCAGGACAGGCCACTGGACCTCTGGGACTTTCTTCCCCAAGTTCACGGGGAAGCTGGAGGGGAGCAGAGGGCAGCTGAGGACACAAGGTCCTGGTGGGGAGAGAGCAGCTGGCCACCCCGCCCCGCTCCCCTCCGCTGGGTGGCAGGTGTTTGAGGCCTTGGGAGCTGAGGCTCTGTCTGTAAACAGCAACAGGCCGCTGGGCCAGGCTCTGAGCAGATTCCCTCAGGGCTTCCTGGGCTTCCTGCGGAGTCCCCTCCGGGGCCCTCCCCAGGCTCCTGCAGCTGGGCCTGGGCGGGTGAGGTGCAGCCGGGTTAGGGAGGCCTGAGCCCATCCGTGCACAATCCTCACCCCCCAACCTGGCTCCAATCCAGACAGGTCCCCGTCTTCACTTCTGTGACCTCCTGGAGTCCCTCGGGGAAAAGCTCCCCCACTCCGTAAGTGGCCTTAAACCACGCAGGCTTCCACGGAGGCTCCGGCCTTCCAAGCGGGTCCCTCCAGGGCCTGGCAGGGCTCCGGCAAATGCTGTAGCCTGTGAGGATGGAGAGGGATGAGGGGCGGCTCCTGGGCTGGACCCCCCCTCCTGAACCTCCTCCCAGGTCAGCCAGAGTGGGTGCTGCGCTGGCCCCGCCTGCCCACCCTCCTCCCTCACCTGGGGCCTCGCAGCCCTCCTGTGACTCAGGTGAGGACGCACCGGGGGACCCACCACCCTCAGGAGGCCGGGAGGGGGCTGTACTCACTGCCCACGTGTCTCTTCTTCCAGAAGCCATAGACCGCCATCATCACCACAGGCACCGACAGCAAGGACAGCACGCCCGCCAGCACAGTGGGGTTAGCATCCCGGGGCCTGAGGAGACGGGAGGGAGCAGATGTGAGCACCAAGTCCCCCACCCCCTCCCTCATCTCCAGCCACATCTTTACACACCATACACACACAAACACACCACACACACATACACACACACACCACACACACACACACACACACACACACAGATAAACCACACATACCACACATACATACACACACAGCACACCACACACACACAGTGATAAACCACACACACCACACATACATACACACACAGCACACCACACACACACACACACACACACACACACACACACACACAGAGAAACCACACACACATACACACACACATAAATACACCACACCACACACACACACACACACACACAGAGGAGAGGAGTCAGGAGAGGAGAACCCTGACAGCCGGAGAGAAGGCAGTGAGGCAGGGGGGCGGGGGAGAGGGGTGGGTGGGGGAGGGAGGGAGGACGTCCCCAGGTGGAGGGGAGCATCTCTCCTCTTTAGCACTCCTCCTCCATTTCCCTCAATCTGCTCGCGGGTGAGAACAGGACTCTAAGAGAGCCCACTGGTGACAGAGGAGACCAGGGTTCTTACTCTCCTCATAGTACCAGGGGTGCTGGTCCCACCCCGTCCTCTGTGTCAGGGGCCGCAGGGGCTCGGCCTGCATTCCTGGCTGCGTCACTTCCACGTACACACGCCCATTTACTTTTTTCTTTTCTAGCCGGAGAAGTTTCTCTTGCCAGTGGCTCCTCCATGCCACACATGGCCGCAGCCCTCTACCGATGGCCAACAGGAGCGGAATATAAACACATCAGCAGCCTGGCGCCCCGGCGGCTGCTGGACCCGGCGCCCAGAGTCCCCGGTGGGGCCGAGCTCCGCTGCCCACAGAGGCCGCCCTGGCTCAGCACCCTGTAGCCGCCTCCCTCTGCCTCACTTCCCCATGCTCTCCCCCTGTCCTGGTCTCAAAGTCTGCTTCTGGGGAGCCCAAATTAAACCACCCCATTTCCCACTCCCCAAGCCACCTCCTTGCCCTGTCCCCACCCTCTGCATCCACAGAGCCCCGTGCTGACCCCTCCCCCGCCCTCATTCCCCACTGCCCTGCTTTATGTCCTGGGTGCCCCTTCTCTGTATCAGCTCCCAGCCTTCAACAAGCCAGCCCAAACTTCAGCAAGGAGTGGAGGTCGGCTGTGACATGGGCACCGTGAGGTCTGTTCAGGCGCCAAGAAGTGTTGCCATCCCTGGGAGCACGTCACTTGACCCCCTGGCCCATGGGTACCTGATGGGGGGTAATTTGTTGAGGAGCGACCGGCTGGTGTGGCACATTCTCATGGTGGGTGGCATGGGGCGCAGTGGCCCGGCCTTGGTGGAGACGGATGCCGGGGCCGCCGAGGAGGCTCTGGCATGGCTGGGAGACGCAGTCACCGTCTGGGCCGTGATCCTCGTGGGCTTTGGGGTGGAGGGGCTGTAGCCCGACATGGAGCTCAGCCTGATGGTCCCCGAGGCAGTAGAGGGCAAGAGTCTGGTCAAGGTGAGGACTCCGGGTGTGAGCATCCTGACGCTGGTGGTGAAGGGGGCCCCTGGGCCTGAGGTGGGGGCGTGGCCTGTTGTGACGACCACTCCACTCTTGAGGATGCCGGCCAGCTGTGTGCGAGGAGTGTTTCTCTCAGCTGTGGGGACTGAAGGCCAGACAGGGAGGAACGTTAGAGGAGTTAGGGGCTGGAGCTGCGAGCAGATCCTGCAGCCCAGATGGCTGCCTGGATGCCTTGGTGGGGCGTGTCCTGTCTCCCCTCCTGACCTGGGGCCTAGAATCTGCTCTGCTGAGTGACCAGGTGTGTTTCCTCGGAGGGTGATGTGAGGAGGAAGTAGACCCAGTAAAGAAGGAGGAGACTTTTAGTCTCCTCAGCCTCCCCGCCAGGCCTCCGGGGCCCAGAGGACTCGCCTCTCCCCACACGACTCTGTCTTGTCACTTCTGGACCCTCCTTATTTCTGTGGGTCAAAGAGATTCCTCTGCTGTGATGCTGGACAGGGTCTGTCCAGCTGCTCCATCATTGGTGATGGGATCAGAGGTGAGGACAAGGAAGCATTGGGGGCCTAGATTCCAAAGGATGATGCAAGCAGCAGTTCAGACACCTCCCTTGGGGCTTTCTAAAGACATCAGCTGTGCTACCCTCATCCACCAACCCAGTCCCTTCCCCACCCCGTTTTCTAGAGGGAGGTGGGGGAGAAGGGACTTGTAATGCTGCAGTGCAATTCTAGGGGGCAGTGTTGGGTCTTTCTCTTCAGGGAACAAGAAACTTGGAGAGAGATGGCAGGGGATAGAAAGGGCTGCGGCATCCCACAGTTGTGCTTGACAAGGTTCCTGAGGGCCAGGCGGTCAGCACAGAAGATGCCCTTTTTTCTGGGCAAGGAAACCCCGAGCAAGTAGCATTGGTGAGGACAGGCTTAGAGGAGGGGCTGACCTGGAGCCATCTCTCCCACATCATCCTGCTCAGCAGTGGGCAGACCCTCAAAGGACCTGCAAAGAACTCACAGGTAGGTGCCCTGGGAGAGCCAGCATGTGGACACTCACTTCATAAAGGCTCTCAAAGGTTGGGCAGAAAAGGAGTGGCATCCAACACTAACAGGGTCAGTGGAGTCAGCCTTCTTTCCTGCTCCAAGGAGTTGGCAGGGGGGAGACAAGGAAAAGATGACACAGAGGAACCCTCCCTTCCCCCACTTCCAGAGAGGAAGGAGAGAGTTAGACTTCCCCCATTTCAGGTGCCCTGGCCCATGAAGCCTGTCTTCAAAGGGGAGCAGAAGAACGCATATATTGCTAAAAGATTCTGGTTATAATTGGGCTGAGGATTTTTTTATTTGCTAATGACTGAAAAGAAATACATAGCTTCACTCTCCTGAAAGTGTCATTAAGAGATGCCGGTTGAGATTTGACATAGTACAATGGTGGGGGAGGGAGGGAGGGATATGCTGAGAAAAACAAAACTATTTCGTGTTTGTATCCCTATAAATTGAGACTTCAGTAAACTGGTTTCAGCTACTTCCCTGGGTCCAAGTCGGAACTAGAGAGAGGAGGAGTGAGATGGGGCTCCACACCTGAGAGACAGTAGGGTCCCCAGTTCAGACTCAACAGAAGATGGGGATGCAGGTGGGCCAGGGACCAGCGAAGGATGGGTAATGAATTCCATCCTCGTTGGCTACTTTTTCAGGCTCTTTCTCTGGCCCCTCGCCGTCTCCTATGTACAAATGGGGGAGGGCCTTGGGGCTAGGTTCTTGGCCCTCCTTCTTCGTTTTCTACATTCAAGGGCGAGCTTTTATATCTCCTTGAATGTCTAAGAACTTTATTGAGATATAATTTACATCTCATGTAATAAATTCCACTTAGTGTCAATTTCCATGATTTTGGTATACGCACAGTCATGCATGTGGTTATATTTTTGTATAACCACAGGCAATTTTAAAAGTTTCATCATCTCAAAAAGAACCTCCTCACCCTGTAGCCATTATCCCTCAGCCCTAAGCATCCACCAACCTACTTTCTGTCTCTATAGATTCCTCTAATCCCCTTGACTTTAAACTGTCTTTGCAAAGACACTTCCCAGCCTCTCACCTGAGCTTCAGGCAGATACATCACCTGCCTGCTTCATTTCTCCATGTGAGGTTCCGGGAGGTATCTTAATGGTCATGGGACACAATAGAGTGCTTCACTTTTCTCCTCCAAACTAGCTCCCCTACCCAGTAGTCAATCCCGCCATCCACCTTCCTGAGGAAATGGACCAAGGGACCATCCTTCGCTGATCCCTTGGAGTCGTCCTTGATTTTTCACTTTTGCTCACCTCCCACATGAGCAAATCCTATCTTGCCTCAAAAAACGTGCAGGGTGGGCAGGAGTCTGACCATCGTCGATGTGAGCCCCTCCTCTTTTGTCCATCTCCAGGGACCACATCCTACTCCAAGACACTGTCATTTCCAGCCGGGACCCCCACATGCTCTTACCCTCCCCAGTCCCTCCTCCACACAGCAGCCAGCATTGTCTTAAAGACACACACAGCACACCCACTAAGCTCTCCTGTGGCCATTATACTTAGAATAAAACTCAAACTCCCTCATCATGGACTTCAGGGCTTCTGTTTGACTCTCCAGCCTCATTACCCATCATTCTGCCCCACACTCAATATGGTCCTGCCTCTAAGGCGGGCCTGCCTTATACAGCCCTCATGTCTTCTCACCTTGGGGCATTTGCACCTGCACTGCCCCCAAGTAAAGACCTTTGGAGCACCCCCATTTCAACAGTTAGAAAGCTCTCATCATTTAGAGCTCTGCTGGATGCCATCTGCTCAAGGAGGTCAAGGCTGGGACTTCAGCAGCTCCCCCACCACTGAGTTACTTTCTGGTTTATCGCATTCTTTCATTTTCTTAAGAGCTTCTATTGTTATCTGCAATTATTGTCTGATGGTATTCTATTGCCTGTTATCTCCCACAGGGCAGAATTTTTTTTTAATATTTTTAAAATTGATTTCAGAGAGAAAGGGAAAGGAAGAGAGAGGTAGAAACAGCAATGATGAGAGAATCATTAATTGCCTGTCTCCCGCATCCCCCCTTATTGGGGACTGAGTCCGAAACCTGAGCATGTGCCCTGACTGGAAATCGCACAATGATCTCCTGTTTTATAGGTCGATGCTTAACCATTGAGCCATGCCTGCTGAGCGAGTTGTGTCTGTTTTTGCTCATGATTGTATATTCAGAGCCTAGAATAGCAGCCAGCATATAATTAGGATTCAATGAATATACACTAAACTGAACAAAACAAAGCACAGAGAGTCCTGAGTTTGAATCTCTGCCACTAGCTGGCTGTGTTGTCTTAGACAAGGTCAGAGCCACATAGGAATTTTTAGATCTCATTTTCTTTGTCTATAAAATGGTGACAATAATGTTCATGAAGATGTGTGAAAAACTGTGAGAGCCCTACTGTGCAGCATACCCACTGATGGATTGTTATTCTAGGTACAACCGATGTTAGTGCAGGGCAGAGCAAGGGGGACACTCCCACCCTCCCAGTGCCCCAGCAGGCCTGCTCACCTGGAGACACTTCCAGCTGGAATCCCATCAGAGGGTAGAGGGTCCCGGAGCTGTTACGCATGCACCAGTACCGGCCTGAGTCCTGGCGCCTGAGGGCCACCATAGTGATGTTGACCACCTTGGCCTGGGTATCGTCCTGTAGCAGGTAGCGTGGCCCTGGTGCCCAGACCCGGGTAAACCCAGGCTCACACTTCTTCCTCCTGATTTTGCACCAAACCTTGCCCTCCACGTGTTTCTTGCGGTTCTTGTAGGAGCACTGCACAGACAGAGTCTCCCCTTCAAAGTGTTGCACTTTGGAGTACACGTTCTCGGTGGGGACACCTGGGGAGACATGGCATGTTGAGCAAGGCCCAGCAAGGAGAGGGGTGACATCGTGAAACTTGGAGGGAGAGGAGATGGGTATGTCCTGTCTACGTAGGACTCATGGTCCCAGGGAGAAGCAACCCTTCTCTGAGGGAGCTTCCCAGTCTGAGGGGGCAGATACAAGCCTTGCCTTTAGGGAGCCCCCATCAGAGCCCCTTCTTCATGGTATTTTTCCAGTCTGAAGGAAACATGGCAAGCCTCATGTCCAGAGTCTTGTGGGAAAGACCCAGGGTGTATCCTCAATAAGAGACATGCAGATGCAAACACAAGTCATCAGGTTATGACATTCCAGAGCACAATAACTTAAGTAGAAAGAAGATCCAACCTTAAGTTGTAAAAACATTAAGAGTGGTTATTTATTTTATAAACTAGAGGTCCGGTGCACAAATTTGTGCACATTGAAAGGCAATTAATTAGAAGAACTATTTTAATATCTCTATTCGCTCTTTCTCTTTAATAGAAGTGTCAACCAAATTCACAATTAACAATGACAGGTGGAAACACACACATGCAATTGGTGCCAGTGAGAGTTTTACATATATAGATAAACTTGCTTAATTAGATCTGCTTTCTGATTTGACTAAACTTTTTCCAGCCCAGTGAAGTCCTCCAACTTCTCTTTCAGGTAATTGTCAGCAACACAGCAGTAAATATCAACATGAAGCAGATGATTATTGTAGACCATGCAGGGAGAACAAAGGATGAAATGTTTAACTGTAGCAGTGTTTAACTATATTCTGAGCAGTGAGAAAACCTTCATTTTCAAGTTCTATTTTTTACTTCTTTTCAGTCAGGTCAAGTTTCTAAACTTTTTCATCTCCATTTCCTGGCTAATGAAAAGAAAATAGGATTCTACTGAGTCTCTTACCTACCTACTCCAGGACTTCTGTGAGGATCAAATGAGATGAGGCACATGAAAATGCTTCACAGACATTTGGTTAAAGTGCAAAATGTTTGCACCTGGCTATAAAGAAAGTCGTATTCCTGGGCTGAAGAAACTCCAAGGAGGCTAGTCACTAGGGAGAGGAAGCTGGGTATTGCTACATGACGTCATTATCCAGCACCCACAGCCACTATTTTTGGTTTGGCCTGTGGGCGACATTTTGCGCCATGAGGTCTTGGCAGTGTTGGCTGCAATTTGGTGAGTTGTCCCTCTGGGGTGATGGCAGGGCCTGTGTCCCACTTGGGGGAAGCTGAGTGTTGCTTTGTTGGCATCAAGCCCACGGTGCCATTTCTATGTAAATGGCCAGTGGTGTCACAGCAGCTCTTGTGTTGAGCATTTACCCTGTGGTGGTCAGTGCACATCATAGTGACTGGATGGATGGTCAGAGGGACACTTAGCATATTAGCCATATATATATATATATATATATATATATATATATATAGAGAGAGAGAGAGAGAGAGAGAGAGAGAGAGAGATGATATAGATATAGATATAGATATAGATATAGATATAGATATAGATATAGATATAGATATAGATATAGATATAGATAGATAGGTTCACTATAGATATCTTTTAAATAGCAAGGTGTCTTGGTTCATTCTAGGTGGTGTTTAATTTTAAAATATCCTAGCTACATAAAACCAATATAATAAATATACCCCAAAGTGCATAGAGCTCTGGCCAGTGTGGCTCAGTTGTTTGCACATCATCCATGCAACAAGTGGTTGCAACTTCGATTCCCGGTCAGGGCAGATACCAGGGTTATGGGCTTGATCCCCAGTAGGGGACATACAGGAGGCAATTACCGTATTTTTCGGACCATAACACGCACTTTTTTCCCCCCAGAAGTGGGGGGGGAAAGTCCCTGCGTCTTATGGTCCAAATATAGCCTACACATATACTTTAAAAAAAAAAGTTTTTTTACTTGCCCGGCTCTGTGTGGTCTCTGTGTGCTTGCCCGGCTCTAAAATGGTTCTAAATGCTGCTGTTTACTTTACAGGGTTGATTACATGTGTTTATGACTGTGATGTTGGGTTTTAATGCACATAAAATATTTTAGGACACTATTTGTTTCAGAATCTTTTTTCTTCATTTCCCTTCTCTAAAAACTGGTGCGTTTTATGGTCCAGAGCGTCTTATGGTCTGAAAAATACGGTAATCAATGTTTCTCTCTCATTGATGTTTTTTTTTCTTTCTCCCTTCCTCTCTCCCTCAGGTATAAATAAATAAATAAATAAATAAATAAATAAATAAATAAAGCATAGAAACTCCCACCAGAGTGCAAGCCAGAGAATTCTACAGTATCCTCTCTTCACTCCCAGCACGTCACACACTGCACCTAGGGATGAGATGTGGTCTTTATGATCCACGGTCCGGTGGGGAGAGAATAGGTCGAGCCAGGGGACAGGAAAGAGAGCGAGCTGGGGTGGGGTCCCTCCACCCCTCTGCCTGCTGTAAGCTCAGCACTTGCCCCTTAACACCCCCAGAGCCTTCTGCAAAGAAGCACAAATACACAAGTTACTCCCTTGTGTTACACAAGTAGAACAGAACAGAGCACACATTTGGAGTCTAAATACACATGGTTAAAACTCTGATTCTACCACGTGAGCAGATCAGGTTGGTTATGAGAACTATGCCCTAGGACAGTGCCTTGAATACAGTAGGTGCTCAATGAATGCTTCCTTGAGTTGCTCCAGATTTCTCTAGGGCTATGATAACCAAGGGCTGGCACCCAAAGCATCTGCCTCAGTTTCCTCCCCAGCTGCCACAGCGGTTAAGGCTGGGAGTAAGGTAGCACACACCATCCCTGAGCATCACTTTGTCCCATGCAAATTAACACAGTGACCCAACTCAATTATATGGTAGGTGGGAGGTTTGGGGGCCCCAGGCTGGCTCAGCCCAGGAGACACTCTTCTGCCCTGGCAGAAGGGGGCCTTCCTGGGGGAGGTGCCTGGATGGGGTGACCTTGGAAGGGGTCTCCAGGGTACTGGGTTCTTTGGTATCCACCTTCCAGTCCTCTCACAGAGGGTGAGGGGTGGGTTTTGTCAACCCCCTCCATTCCCAGAACTGAGCGGGAAGTGGTAACTTGGTTGCCATGGAAACAAGGGAGGCAGGATTGGGTGAGCGCCCACCTTAAGGAGCATTGGTGCCTGTGGGTGGGGAAGCCCTCAGGGATTGCTTTCCCTCGGGACAGGGGGCAGTGGCATCAGCATTCTGAGAAAAAGCGAGTTCAAAGCACACAGGCATGATGCAATGATTCCCGTAACAGCCAACAAGGCTTTCCTGACCGAGGCCAGGGGCGCGGCTTTCTGAGAGAGGAACTAGAGTGTCCCTGGTCAGAGGTCCCGAGGGAGCCCTGCAGAGCGGGTCTGAGCTCAGCAGACCTGGGGCAGCTCTGCCTGAAGCCAGTATTAGGGTGGAACCTTCTTGTTGGTCTCTAGTAAGGAGCTCCTTAGGCTAGCCCAACCTCCCCCTCTCCTCCTCCAACTCCACACGATAGTATCCAAGGTCATTGGGCAAGAAAAAGCCAGGTGGGAGGGTCCAGCAGAAGGCCGTTCCCCCACCCTGGCGCCCCCACCTTCTCACCTGAGGTGCAGCCCTGGAGCCACAGCAGGAGCAGCAGCAGGAGCAGCGTGGGAGCCATGGCTCCATCCAGCTGCCGGCAGGCACAGGCCAGAGGGGCCGACACCTGGGGCCCAAGATCAGGGTCCCCGGAAGGTGCAGGATAGACCCCTTGGGTCAGCCAGGGGAGAACCTGGGCTTCTCAACGTGAACCTGCCCATTTAGGGAAGTGAGGAAGTCACGGGACCGCTGTGACCAGCAGACCGCAGGAGCCCGCAGAGCCTGGAAGGGCGGGGCCGCAGCTGTTTCCGCCCCTCTTCCTCGAAACTTCAGGCGGCTGTGGCTGCACCACCCAGCCTGGGCCCCCAGCCCAGGGAGGACTCACGCTCTCTGGATTCCATCCTGGAAACTGGTCCAGTAGCCATGCTTCCTATTCTGAGACCAGAGGCTGGTGTGAAGTTTCTAGAACCTCAGGTACAGACTTCCCTGGGACGCTCTGGGCTAACACCCAGGGGTAGGGCTTATGTGGCCAGGCCCAGGCATCAGGCATCTTGGACATCGCATTTTTCACAAACACACACTCAAAGGAGGCTCTTATAAACTCACATTCATTCATTCATCCCTGCTGGATGCTTTCATTCTGGCGTGTTCTCTCTTTCTCTCTCTCTGATTCCTGGCTGGTCAGATCAGAACTGTCACTCCCGCTTACACTTACAAATAACCTACATGCTCAAAAGCAGTCTTATTTTTGTCACGGTTCAAGTGACAGGAAAAAAAATTCTAAAACTCAGAGCCTAAGCTTTGGGTTCAGGGAGGGGCCTCTGTGCCCTCACACGTGGGGGCACATGCACACACACACTCACACATACACACACTCACAATCATATACACACACTCTCACGTACACAGCACGAACACACAAGCAAGCGGCCTTTCCTTTTCGCTACACGTCTCCCTGGCCCTACCCTCCTCTCCAGCTGTCCTGCCCTCCTGCCTACTCACCCACCAGCTCTCAGGAGATTCCTGCTCCCTCTTGCAGGCCTCCTAAAGCAGCCCTCCCCCACCGCCTCCCAGAAGCCACACCCCCTGCCCCTTCTCCCCCAGCTCTGGCCCCAGCCAGCACACAGGCAAGCCCACTCTACTTCCTCCGCCAACCCTATCTCACCGGGACAGCCACCCAGCGCCAGCTATAATGACCCAGCACTTGGCCAAGACCCCGCCCTTCACCTAGTCCCCAGGGCTGAGAATCCAAGCCGCACTGCGGACAGCCAGGCGCTGTGTCATCTGCTCCTTCGGGTGTGCGCCCAGGACGACGCGTGCTCCCCCACTCACCTGTGCCCACGTCCTTCCCCTTGGATGGGGTCAGAGCAGGAAGCCTCCAGTTTGCATGGCCAGACCCAGTCTGGAACTGAGTTTGAGCCTCCAAGTCCCAAACCAAGGAATTTCTCATCTTTGCTGACCCTAAACTTTTAGTCTCTTAACTTACTCGTGGGTTCATTCCTTCATTTGTCTGTGCTAACAGTCTGACCTGCAGTGGTGGTGCCAGGCGTGGGGAAGAGGAAGGGGACCCCGTTCAGCTCCCAGAACACCTGTTGTGCTTTCCTCAGCCGCCCTTCCTTTCAGCATTCTGCCCCAAGCCCACGATCCCCAGATCCCCACTGGGAGGCTATCTCACCTCCCAACACACGCGCTGTCTATCTCCCTCCCTCCTTCCCTCCCTCCGTCCTTTCTTTCCTTCCTTCCTTATTTCCTCCCTCCCTTCCTTCCTTCCTTCCTTCCCTCCATCAGCACAGTCAACACTTCAGGGTGGGATCATTTATCCCTGCTGGGAACCTATGGTTCTGCAGTTGGCATTGCTACAAACCTCTGCCATGTGCCCCTGTGCCCACCCGGAGTGAGGCACTGTGAGAGGTGCCAGCACAGCGGTGTTGAGGAGGGACTAAGAACCCAGACACTCATTCCTGACAGGTGGTGCAAACTGGATTATATGTTCTTTAAGGGAAATTTGGAAAAATCTCTAAAAATGTGTATACTTCATTCAGGCTTTTACTACAAAATAAAATTTTGAAATATATTTTTATTGATTTCAGAGAGAAAGGAAGAGGAGAGAGAGAGAGAGAGAGAGAGAGAACAAAGAGAGTCATTGATTGGCTGCCTCCTGTATGCCCCCTACAGGAGATCAAGCCTGCAACCAGGGCATGTGCCCTGACCTGGAATCGAACCGTGACCTCCTGGTTCATAGTTGATGCTCAACCACTGAGCCACACCAGCTGATCATACAAAATAATTTATACAGCATTATACTTACCTGTTTCTTTCTTCAAGGTGTAGCAAAAGTTGGTTTACTATTGTGAGTATGTAAAACAGAGTTTATTCTTATGTTATTACTAGAGGCCAATATATGAAATTCATGCAAGGATAGCCTTCCTCCCCCGGCTACTGGCCCCAGCTTCCCTCCAGCACCCGGGACCCAGGCTTCCCTCGCAGCACTGGTTCCATCCAGAAGGACGGCCAGTCTAATTAGCATATTACACTTTTATTATTATATACTAGTGGCCCAGTGAACAAAATTCATGCACCTTAAAAAGGAATTAATTAGAGGAAATATTTTAATATTGCTATTTGCCCTTTCTCTATAATAGAAGTGTCAGAGATGAAAGAAAATTAGTAAAATGTGTATGAAAATCTTCCTCCTGTCAGAGTCTGGGGTGCACCACAGGAACCAGGGTCAAATCCCTGCCCACCCGCACACCTTGAAATTGTGCTAGACCCAGACCAGGCCACCTTGGGCAAAATCCAGACCTGGCCAGCCCACCCCCGTTAAGCCCTGGGCGTGAGCACAGCCTCAGGTCCCCCAGTGCACCCTCAGGTCCCCTGGCCCGGTGTCATGGCAGGGGCCACTGCCTGAAGTCCCCCATCAAACTCTGCAGGGCAGAGGATGCAGCCTCAAATCCCTCTCCCCGGCCGGACACCACACAGCCTCAGGGCCCTGCTGATCGCTCCTTAAGGCTTGTTACAGGAGGTCTGTCTGTGGGCGCAGACCTCTGTGACAGCATGGGAGTTACTTTGCATATTACCTTTTTATTATTTATATAGGATGTATTACTTATTGTTTTCCGTACTAACAGGTGTAAACCTACTTTTGCCCCAGCCTGTATTTCCATTATAAAAAATCTCTTTTGCATAGAGTAAAATTCACTCTTTCCGGTTGGAAGTGCTGGGAGATTGGCATATCTGCAGGATGGGTAACCACCACCATAATCAAGATATGGAAACATTCTGCACTCCCTAAAGTTTCCTTGGTAGTCATCCCTTCACCCCTCCCTCAGTTCCCAGCAAACACTGACCTGTTTCGGTTTTTCCCCCTCTATAGTTTGCCCTTTTAAGAACGTTATGAAAATGGATGATACAGCCCTGCCCAGTTGGTTGGAGTGCCATCCCGTGCACTAAAAGTCTGTGGGTTCTGTTCCCAGTCAGGGCACATACCTACTTATCAGGTTTACCCCCTTAGGTTGGGGCAGGTAAAGAGGCAACCAATGATGTATCTCTCTCACACTGATGTCTCTCTCTCTCCCCTGCCTCTCCTTCTCTCCTTCTCTCTAAAATCAATAAAAGCACATCTTCAGGTGAGGATTTTTTTAAAAATGAATATTCTGGACAGCATGCTCAGTGATTAGATCATTGCCCTGCATACTGGAGAGTGGGGGGTTTGAATCTCCATCCAGGTCATGGGCAAAGGCAAGTAGCTGGGTTGCAGGTCCAATCCCCACCCCCATCAGAGGTGCATGTGGGAGGCAACCAGTCAATGTGCCTCTGTCACATCGATGACTATCTATCATCTCCCTCTCCCTCCCTTCACCTTTCTCCCCCTCTCCCCTCTGTTCCACTCTCTCTAAAAGCAACGGAAAAAATATCCTAACTCCTTGAGTGAGGAGTAATTAAAAAAAAAAAGAATACCATATGGCTCCTTTCACGTAGTATAATGCATTTGAGATGTGCGATGGGTGTTTTAGTAGTTCGTTCCTTTTTATTATGAAGTAGGATCCCATTGTATGGATGTACCACAATTTGTTTATTCATACCCCAGTTGAGAGACATTCAGGTTGGTGTCTAACTTTGGATTATTCCAGGTTAAACCACTATAAATATTTTTAACCAGGTCTACATAGGTTTACATTTCACCTGGGTAAATAGCTAGAGTGGAATTACTAGATTGTATGGCTATTATTAAAGTTTGAGTGCTCTTTGTATATTCTTTAATTGAATATGGTTTTTTGCAAATATTTTTTCAAATTTATTGCTTGTCCTTTTATTTATTTTTTTTAATATCATACTCAGTATACTTCAGGAGCATACTTTTAATTTCGATGAAGTTCAATATGTCATTTTTTGACTCATGCTTTTCATGTCATCTATATATATATAAAAGTCTAAGAGACCATTACAATTGAACTATTGGAATGACCGAGTGATTGGTCAGCCAGTCGCTATGACACAAACTGACCACTAAGGGGCAGACACTCAATACAGGAGCTTCCCCCTGGTGATCAGTGTGGTCCCACAGCCAACCACCTGAGGTTCCTCCCCTAGTCAGCCAGCCCCCATCGGCCCCTGGTGCTAAACCATTTGTAGAGACCTGCTTCTGAGTCAGGGTTTCATATGTAGCAGAGAAGCTCCCTCACTGCCATTTATTGAAAGTCAGCCTGTGATCCAAAGGTTTGTCTCAATCCTGTCCTCTCCCTTACCTGAGGGCTGCCCATCCACTGCGGTGGTGGCACTGTGGCGAGGGAAGGAGGAGGGGAGGAGGAGGTGGTTCTTTCTATGCCCAGCGACTCTTGCCTTCTCTCCCGATCCCACCAGAGCCTTCAGGCTGGGCTGGGACATGGAACTAAGGTTTGGTGGCCCCCTTTCCTAGGGGTCCCAAAGGCTGGCTCCCTCCTTGGGATGGGTGGCCAACCTCCCACCGTTCCTCTCCCTGCCTCTGCATGAATTTGTGCACCAGGCCTCTAGTATCTAATAAATCTTTGCTTAACCCACAGTCAGAAATATTTATTTAACAGCCTTACAGAGACATAATTAGCATAATATAAAATTGACTCATTTAAAGTGTACAATTCAGTGGGTTTCAGTATAGTCACTGAGTTGCGCAGCTATCACCACAATCCAAATTTAGAATATTTTGCTGGCGTGGCTCAGTGGTTGAGCATTGATCTATGAACCAGGAGGTCATGGTTCAATTCCTGGTCAGGACACATGCTGGGGTTGCAGGCCCAATCCCAGTGCAGGAGGCAGCTGATCAATGATGCTCTCTCATCACTGATGTTTCTATCTCTCTGTCTCCTTTCCTCTCTGAAATCAATAAAACTATATATTTTAAAAAAATAAATTTACATGTTCACCACCAAAATGAAACTCCATATCCAGTAGCTGTTGCACCCTGTATTGTTTTCCCATTACTGCACACTTAGGGACTTAAAACAAGATAAATTCATTTTTTCACAATTCTGAGGTCAGATGTTTGAAACAGTATCGCTGGGCCAGCATCACAGTGCTGTTGGGGCTGTGGTTATTCTGGAGACTCTAGGGAAGAACCAACTCTTTGCCTCTTCCATCTTACAGAGGGGCAACATTCCTTGGCTTGTGGCTTTGTCACTCCAACCTTCAAGGCTACATCTCCAAACTCTCCCTGCTCCGTCTTCACATCACCATCTCTTCTATGCCTTCAATCCCCCTCAGGCTTTGTCTTATAAGGGAACATGTGATTGCATTCATGCCCAGACTCATAATCTAAAATAATCTCCCCATCTCAAAATCCTTAGCTTAATCTCATCTGCGAAGGCCCATTTAAAAAAAAAAAAAAAAAATATATATATATATATATATATATATATATATATATATATATGTGTGTGTGTGTGTGTGTGTGTGTGTGTGTGTGTGTGTGTGTGTATATATATATATATTATTGATTTCAGAGAGGAAGAGGAAGGGAGAGAGATAGAAACATCAATGATGAGAAAGAATCATTGATCGGCTGCCTTCCTAAGCCCCCTATAGAGGATCCAGCCTGCAACCGGGCATGTGACCTCCTGGTTCATAGGCCAGTGCTCAACCACTGAGCCACACCAGCTCAGCTGCAAAGACCCACTCTTTATTTCACTAGAGTGGAATCTAAAGAACAAAATAAATCAAGTAGAAACAAACTCATAGATACAGAGAGTGGACTGACAGTTGTTGGGGAGAAGGAAGTTGAGGAGATGGGTGGAAAAGCTGAAGGGATTAAGCCGTACAAATTGGTAGTTTCGGAATCACAGAGCTATAATTACAGCATAGGGAATATAGTCAATAATATGGTGATAACTATGGTTGGGGCCAGGTAGGTACTTGAAGCATACGGGGGACAATTCTGTACAGTGCACGATTTTCTAACCACTGTGCTCCACATCTGAAACTAATATAGAATCAAACTGAATGTAAACCATAAGTGGTCTAGTTGGCTTATCGTGTTGTTAAGTCTTCTATCTCATTGTTGATCTTCTGTCTAGGTGTTCTATCAGTTATTAAAAGTGGGGTATTAATTCTCCAATTAATATTGTCTATTTCCCCTTTCATTTTTATTAGTTTTTAATTCATGTATTTTTGGAGGACTGTACATATCTTTGAATCTAAAATGTGTCTCTTGTAAACAGTATATAGTTGGTTCATGTCCTATTTTCCATTCTTCCAATCTCTACTTTTTGATAGGAGAACTCAATACACTTACATTTAATGTAATTACTGATAAAGTAGGCTCTGGGTCTTCCATTTTTCTATTTCTTTTCTACCTGTCTTATGTAATTTTTGCTCCTGTATTCTTCCATTACTATCTTCTCCTGTGTTAAATTGCTACTTATTGGGTACTATGTTGATGCTCTTATTGTTTTTATCCCATTATTAAAAACAAATATTTTTTATTTTTTATATTTTTGTTACTCCTCACCCAAGGATATTTTTCCATTGATCTTTCAGGGAGAGTGGAAAGGATGGGGAGAGACAGAGAGAGAGAAACATTGATGTGAGAGAGACACATCAATTTGTTGCCTCCTGCCCCAATTAGGGCCAGAGATTGAGGTATGAGCCCTTGACCCAAATAGGACCCAGGACCCTTCAATCCACAGAGTCCACAAACTCTTTAGCCCTAGCCAGTTGGACTCATTGGATAGAGCATTGGCCCATGGACTGCAGGGTCCTAGGTTCGATTCCAACCAAGGGCATGTACCTCAGTTGGGGCGCATTGGGGAGGCAACCGTGTCTCTCACATTGCTGTTTCTGTCTCTTCCTCTCCCTTTCACTCTCTCTAAAAATCAATTGAAAAATACCCTCAAGTGAGGATTAATAAAACAAACAAACAAAACAAAACAAACAATTTTTTAATGGTTGTCCTGAGGATTTCATTTATGTTCCACTATAGCTTCATTTCCTCCCCCACTTATTTTTGCTATTAATGACATGTAAGTTGCATCTATTGTATAAACATCATAAGCCCACACAGTTTTATGGTTATTGCTGTATGCAGTTGTCTTTTAATCAAATAGACAGGCATTATAAACAAATAGAATATTTAAGAGTGTCTATTATATTTGCCTATAACTTCATATGGATTCAAGTTACTGTTCTTTCATTTCAGCCCAATCGATTTATTTAGTATTTCTTCATTTAGTCTCCTGGAAAGGAAATCCCTCAGCTCTCTTTTAATTTCACCTTCATTTTAGAGAGATAATTTTTAGTTACAAATCCTCAGTTTACAGTCTCTTCCTGCTGGAATAACAAATTCCTAAGCATAACTGGAATTATTTAACACTCCTTTATTGATTATGAGCAAAATACATAAACCAAAAAAAAAATCAGTAGAGATATAAAATGTTTGAACTAAACTATCAATCAACTTGACTTAATTGACATTTATGCAGTTAATAACTAAAAAATGCATTCTTTTCAAGTACATATTTTATAACATATGCTGGACCACAGTATACAACTCAATAAATTGAAAAATATTGAAGTTAGATAGAGTATGTTCTATGATCATACTGAATTAAATTAAAAATAAAAAGGGATACAGTATTTAAATACTTAAATAATTGGGAATTAATCAACACATTTATCTCCAAATAAACTCAGGGATCAAAGAAGAAATTATGGGAGCAACTAAAATGTATTTTGAACTTAAAAACACTATATGAAAAATTTTAGTTACTAGGTAAAGCTGTCCTTCTACAGAAACATGAAGTTTAAATGCTTATATCAGAAAAACAGGTGTTCTTTTGGGTAGTATGCTAAGTGAAATAAGTCAGAAAGAGAAAGACAAATACAGTATGCTATCACTTATATATGAAATTTTAAAAAGCCAAACTCAGAGAAACAAAGAGTGGCAGTTACCAGGAGGTGGTGGGGAGTGGGGAGATACTGGTCAAAAGGTACAAACTTTCAGTTATAAGATTAACAAATTCTGCGGATATAATATACAGCATGGTTACTATAGCTAATAATACTGTGTCATAAATGAAAGATGATAAAAAGAAATGGCTGCATGTGGTGGGATGAAGGTGCTGGCTAATGCTTGGTGGTGCTCATATTGCAATGTATAAGTGTGTGAAATCAGCAGGACGAACACTCTAAACCTACACGTTATCTGTTAAGTATATCTCAATACAGCTGGGGGAAAGAAGAATAGAAAGGTTTAAAATCAGTGCTCTAAACTTTCACATTAAAACTCTTCAAAAGCAGAACAAATTTTAAATAAAAGTATATAAAAATGAAGTAAAAAATGAGTGGAGATCAATGAAATACAAGTAATAGAGAAAACTAACAAGCTAAAGGTCTTTGAAAAAGTAATACATTTGTTAAACTCTAGCTAGGCTGATTAAGAAAAAAGAAAGAAACAAAAATGATAAAGGGACATTTCTACAGATCCCTACAGCTATTAAAAGAATGTAATGGTATGAAGTTCTTTATGCAGATTAATTTAACAAATGGACTAATTAATTGAAACATACAACTTATCCAAAACTAACACAAAAGAAATTTAAAATCTGGATAACCTCGTATTAATTTTATACAGTTCTTTTTATTCTTTCATATGTTCTTGTGTAATATTTATCTCTATAATCCATTTAGAATTTATTTTAGATTACAATGTGAAGAGAAGATTAAATATAATTTTTTCTAGATAGTTAAATATGCTCCAATTCCATTTGTTAGATAAACACACTAATGTGGCTCTAGCTGGTTTGGCTCAGGGATAGAGCCTCGGCGTGGGGACCAAAGAGTCCCGGGTTTGATTCCGGTCAAGAGCACATACCTTGGTTGCAGGCTCCTCCCTGGCCTGGGCCCTAGTTGGGGCTTGTGCAGGAGGCAACCAATTGATGTGTCTCTTTCACATCCTTGCTTCTCTCTCTCTTCCACTCTTCTTCAAAATCAATGGAAAAAATAACCTCAGGCGAGGATTAACAAAACAAAAACCAATAAACACACTGATGTGGATGGCTCTTTGTGAGATAGGATATGTGCTTTCTACACATTTGGACTGTTTCTGGTTACCCATTCCCTCTTTTCTCCTCTGAGGCTGCCTTAAACTGTGGAATTTATAGAGATTCACTAACCTCCAAAAGCAAAGAGTGCTACATGGGGATGCTGAGAAGCAGTGTGCTGTGCACCCAGCAACG